ACAGCAACATAAGTAAATTTGCTGATGACACTAAAATAGAACGTGTAATTAAATCTGACGAGGACTCAGCAAAACTACAGGAAGATCTAAACAAATTTTTCAAATGGTCTGAAAAATGGCAGATGAAATTCAAAGTGGACAAATGTAAAGTACTCAGTATAGGAGATGTAAACAGGGAAACCAGATACTAGATGAACAACGATGTCATTGAGAAATCCGACTGCGAGAGAGATTTAGGAGTAATGATAAGTAGGAATCTTAAGCCAAGTAAACAATGTGTTTTTGCTCGAAACAAGGCTAATAAAGTAATTGGGTTCATACAAAGGAGTGTTAGTTACAAGACTAGCGAGGTCATCTTAAGACTATATATAGCGCTTGTGAGACCTCACTTGGATTACGCAGTTCAATTCTGGTCACCGTATTACAGAATGGATATAGAATCCTTGGAAAGCATTCAGAGGAGAATGACAAGACTAATCCCGGGCATTAGGAACCTTGCGTGTAGAGACAGGTTACAGCATCTTAATTTGCACTCCCTCGAGAGACGTAGAGCGAGGGGCGACATGATAGAGGTGAATAAGTGGAAGTCAGAGCTAAACAAAGGGGACATTACAAAGGTACTCAAACTACCAACCAGGAGCGAACTCGTAACAATGGTTTTAAATTAGACAAATTTAGATTTAGGCGCGAAATAGATAATCATCGGTTTGGAAACAGAGTAGTGGATGAATGGAACAAGTTACCAAATATTATCATAAACTCGAATACGCTGGATAGCTTCAAACATAGGTTGGATGCTTATATGAGCAACAGAGGTTGGGTGTAAATGAGACTGCCCAGTATGGGCCAATAGGCCCGCTGCAGTTTCCTCCATTCTTATGTTCTTATGTTATGTACTGATGAAAAATCTAGCCAGACTTCCTTTCAGACAAACAGCCAAGCTCCTCTGCTATGTAGACGACTTACAGCTCATAGTAAGAGGAGCAAACATACTATTCAACATGCAACATGCACTCCAACTTATAGAAGAAGAGTGCAACAGACTTGGAATCAAGATAAATCCAGCCAAGTCGAAAGCGATGGCCATCTGCACAGACACACCAGACATGATGCTCTCCATACAAAACATGTCGGTAGTCTGGACCAACACCCACCAGTGTCTTGGAATCTGGTTCGACCAGAAACTCACTTTCAAGCCACAACTCGAGTATCTCAGGCACAGGACGAAGAGCAGACACAACATAATGAGGTCGCTCACCAGCACAACCGCAGGAGCGAACATACACGTGCTCAAACCCTACTACACGGCCGCCCTCAGATCGCTGGTAGATTACAGTGCTCCAGCACTCATTGGACTGAGAGAAGACCAGATAGCTAAGCTAGAAGTTATACAAAATAATGCTCTCAGGACCATGCTCGGAGCACCCATGTGGACCAGAATTTGAAATGTGCAAATGGAAACTGAACTACTACCCCTGGCAGTACGAGTCAAGCAGGTGACAGCCGGACTCCTCGCCAAAATCTGTACATCAGATAAGCCCACAGCTGCCAAAACGCGAATCAGTTCCTCCCTCCACCTCGACCACAGAGCGCGAGGGGCCACCTGGTCGCATGAGGCAAGCGAGGTCATCGGGCACCTGCACGCAGAAACACTCGTCAAGAACAACCAAGACATACGAGACAGTGATTATGTAGTTCCACCACCCTGGAGCCCTCCACCAGCCACATTCAAAATCACCAAACTAGGTGATAGCAAAGCCAACCTCCAGAAGGAGGACCTCAAAAGAATAACTCAGGAAGCCATAGCCACCGAGACATCGGCTGATGCAACATCATACTTCACAGACGGCTCGGTGGACCCAAAACATCATAGATCCAGAGCGGCCTTCTACACCCAAGGTCAGACTCTCCTATGGAGACTTTCTAATGACTGCTCCACCCTACAAACAGAGTTGGTAGCAATCTCAAAGGCCCTACAACACGCTGCAACACAACACAACAAGTCCATCATAATTCACACGGACTCGAAAACGGCCATGCAGGCGCTGCAACACAGTCAACCAAGAGACAACGTCCACATCATAACCTCGATCCTCGCACAGCTACAGGACTTCCAAAGACAAAATCGCCCAGTCGTCATACACTGGATTCCCAGTCATGTAGGGATCGGGGGAAATGACATGGTAGACGGAGCAGCCAAAGCAGCCACACGTTCTATAAGCGTACACATTCAAGTTCCAGGAAGCGTGCAACAGATCAAGACCCACCTCAGAAAGACTACCAAGCTCCACATCCAAAAGAGCTTCCTTGACGCATTCAAAGCTGGTTCCCAATCAGCCAAATGGTACCTGGTGCCTACAAAAGGGGAACCACCATTCGCGGACAAGAAAACACCAAGACAAACCCAAGTTAGCCTTCATCGACTACGACTAGGGTACAAGTGCACCTGGCAGACGATCGGAAATGTCGTCAGGGAATGCACCTACTGTCAGGAGCCAGCGGTCAACCCACTGGAACACTATCTCCTCGACTGTGAAGTCACACAAGGTCTCCGAAAAAGAATTCGAAACTTCCAAGAACACACAACACCAGCGGCCACTCTAACCCAAAAGGCCCAAACAAACCACATTCACCACCTTCTCCGGGTTATCACACAATACCCACCACCCAGATAGCTTAGGAAATATCCTCCCCCAGAAAGTGCGGACCCAAGTTCGGGGGGCGCGCCACTCCGAAACTGACCACGTCCAAGAGTGGGAATTGGTGGTAAGTGTTCACTGATCGAGGGTCCGCTCACACTTGCAAACCTGCAGTATCCTTCCATATCTGCAGATAGGACAACTTCCATCTCCAATCCCAAATCCAGTCTGGCTACTCCAGGAGCTCCAGATGGAACCACCAAACGGGCCACCTACAGGCAAAGGCCCGTGTCGGACTATGGTCCGACAATCTCAACAACAACACAACAACCATGAAGGTCAAACAACACCAAGCTCTTAAGCAGAGAAGACCCCTTCTAAAGAAGCTCCTCCACAGCAACTCCTCTACTACGCAGCAACTTCCCAGCACCTGACAGCTCTGTACATATAATATATATTTATATAAAACGCCATTGTGAGTTTCCTTTCTCACCTCCATCCTTAGTGCGAGACCTCCTTCATGTACATATGTATGTGAACCTAACAGAGAAATTAGACAAACACAAAGAGAAAATAGACAACTGACCACATACACTACGCTACAATTGGTGACCCACGGAGTGACGCACTCACACAAGGATGGATGAGAAATGGATCTCTCTTCCAGTCTTCAACCACAAAATTGAGGACTGGATAATTTATGTGGAGTCAGTTCTCACCGGCTCAACAGCTAAAGATGAGCAAAAGTATGTCGCCCTGGTCTGTTCCTTGCCCACAGAAGTCGCTATGCAAGTCTCAGAAGTGATCACCAACTCTCCAGCTGATATCAAATTCGCAGCTCTACGAGATGCTCTAAAGAAACGATACCAGCGGCCTGGTGCCAGTCTCCTGCCAAACCTATCATACTTAAATCAATCGCTATATTCCAAGGATTCCAGCAATGTAAGTTATATTAGCTAAGTCAAGTCTGTGATATTTTATAAGAGAAGAACTTTAAGCTTAAAACCACCTTCATCCCATTAATCCTCATCACTCACCGGCACCTGCCTCCCCTGCAGGCTGGGACGAGGGGGGCAGGGGTGTTAGCAGCCAGGACGGGTGCTTAGTCGGGATTATAAAAGACAGGGAGTTTAAGTTCTTCACTTTTAAAATATCACCGCTAAATCGAGAGTTTGTTATATCGATTCCATTAAATCAAGAGTATACTGTACTGTATTTATTAAGTTTTTCTTAATGTTTGTCAAATTTTGTATACAATACAAATAAATCCATAATGTTATGGAGCATTAGACTAAGTGTCGCTAAGGAAAATACTGATCCTGTCAATTATCAACCTTGTATTTAATGGATATTTCTAACATCAGTGCAGCACGGCCCTGTTGTCAGATGAGAAGGGGTCACTCTGTAGTGAATACCATGTTGCAACTTAAATTCATGCAGCCATTCATCTGTAAAATTACAAGACTTACTAATTCTGATTCATGAGAAATTGTTTACCTACAATAAGACTTAGAAGTAAACTGATGCTGTATACCTTGACATACTAAATTTATTTAATGCGGTGCAATTCCTTTTATCCAAATTCCTCAGGGCCAATGATGGTTCGGATACCAGGATGTGCCTACAAGAACATGCAATAATTAAGGTTAAAACAAAATTAGGTTTAGCAACAGCTTGACTTACTGGGAAGGGAAAAAATTGGGGATAAGGTGTTTTGTGAGTTAGCATGTTGCTATTGATACATTACAATACTGTAGTACTCTTATGTGGCTTAAAAATAAAGAAAACATGATATAAAACTATAAAATAAAAAAATGAAGAGCATGGATGTATAAAGTGAACGTATGCAAAGACTCGTGGAGGAAGCGGGCTGTAATTGTGTACTGACTTGCCACCCACCCAAGTCCCTACTCTGATGTGACGTCACGCCATACACTCACACACACACGTCTTGGAGCCAGCTGGGTGTCATGTCACCCAGAGGATGGTTTGAGTGTGGAAGGAGCCAACACCTTCCACCCACTAAAAAGCCCGATACCCTTGTAATAAAAGCAGTTACAGTGCCAGTGGAGGCAGACATGTGAACAAATGACTTTGGCTGCAATCAAATTGTTGGACTAAATTAGAATTTTTACCAAACAGAACCACAGGGGACAAAGTTTGGATACCTGGAAGATTCAGATACAGTAGTTAGAATTTGGTTAAAAGGAACTGAACTGTACCCCTGTACTGTGTAACTATATTTCTATTAACATACAAAACTGCTTTAATAGAGTTGTACATCTTTATCTATGTATATTACAGGAAGACTCACCAAGGCTTGATAAAAACTTCCTCTACCCGGGAAAAAAGAAATGCAGATTAAGGAAATAAAATTTAATGATTGTGGGCCAGGAACAAAAGTTTGACACAAAACATTCAAAATTATTCTAAAATTGTAATCAATATATTGAAGGTAATATCAAAATACTATACACTAGTATAACTGTAATGACAACCACTTTATTTCTTAAAGGATTTTTCATTTTGTCAAGATTCTTGTTTTCATAATGTACAGATTTTCCCTGATCATATTGATACCACAAGACTGTAATGTAAAACTGTGTGTGAATACTGTAGACACATGGAGTCTAAATTTTATATTCTAACTAACAAAAATTCGAAATAAATCTACTCACCTGAGATTAGCCCCCAGTTATTTCACCTGATGATTAACCATATTAATGCTCACCTGACCTAAAACCTAACCCCAAGGGTGTTTAATTACCAGATGAAATAACCAACGGGGTTAATCTTCAGGCGAGTCTAAATCTATCCTCGACTTATTACATCATTATATTTACCTGTTTCTATCTCTACTGTGTTCCTGTTTTACTCTGTACCTGTCTGAATCAGTTTTTTTTTTGTCCTTCTCTCTCTTTTCTCTTGACCAATCCTTTTCGATGCTTTTCTGCCTATTATCTCTGCTTCTGTCTCTACTACTCTGCCTTTTGTCCCTCTTAATATCTCTGCTTCTCTCTCTATCATTTCTGTTTCTATCTCTGCTCCTCTGCTGATTATCTCTGTCTCTACTTCTCTCTCTCTCTCTCAATTTTTCTTTTCCTCCTTTCTCCTCTGCATCTTTATAATGGCTTCTTCCTTTCTTGCTTTCACTTTGCTCTCTGCCATTTATTTGATCTGGGCTTCTTTTATCTGTATACCAGTCTGCCTTTTTCCTATTTTCTGAATTACTCTCTTTGCTCTCATTCTTACTCCAGAAATCCCACGCTCTTTCCCTTTTTCCTGTGTTCTCTATACTTTCAAATTTCTTCTTGTTCTCGTGGTTCATTTGTTGCCCACAGCTTCCTTTCCCTGTCTCTCGTTCACTCACTTTATGATTCCCCCGCTCGTATCTTTTTTCTTGTTTGTCACGATGTTTGGTGATGTCTTCCTCATCACCGGAAAACTTTTCATGCTTGAATTTCACATGACTGGTGTTACTGAAAGGGTTATCACACCCAATAAAGTCAACTTTTAAGCCCTTTGTTATTTCTCTCAAGAGGGCCTGGGTGTCAGGTTTCTCCTCAGCAGACTCTCTTCTTTTTTTCCTCTTCTTTTCCTTGTCATCTTCAGATTCTGAATCTGAGCTGCCGTAACTATATTTCATCTTCCTTTTGCTTTCTTGCTTTTTTTTCTTCCTCTTCTTTTTCTCTTTTTCAGATTCTGAGTCAGAAGAATCATCACTGGATGAAGTTTCTAAATTTTTCTTCTTTTTGGCTTTCTTAGATTTCTTACCCCTTTTCTTTTTGTCTAGTTTCTCAAGTTTTCTCAGAAGCTTCTTTTTCTCCTTAGTTGTTAATGATTTTAAAAGTGTATATTCATCCATGCTCTCTTCATCACTGGATAACAACCGCTGAAAATAATTGAGGGAAGAATTAACTATAACTCTGCACTGTTCTATTCACTTACAGAAGGAACACCATCATTAGGGAGCACGTGTTATAGCAATTACTGTGCGCAAATGAAAGGAAATAGTGTACTGCTCTTCAATCTGTATACACTATAGAGGAAGGTAAGGATGAAAGAGTAAAGGTATTTTGTTATACAAGGTATTATGTTAATTTGACAAAGTTCTATAATAAAACATAGCATTCTGGATTAAGTACACATGACGTAGGTTGCTGTGGTGTAATTCATTAATTAACTGTGGTGAAGCAGTGTAATTTATGTACACTGCTATAATACACATTGTTAAAGCTTCCCTGTCTTGATGGTCCAACATTGGACCATCAAGATACAACCTTGAGTTGCTTCACTGATTCAATCTCAGGTGACTTGAACTCACACTGTGGCTGTTGGTGGAAGGGACTTTTGTGCATGATAGTACATTATATTAATCATTGGTGAAAAACCTGAAATTACAATTCAAATCTGAAATGTTAGCAGACAGATGAACTGTGCATTACTCTTAGAGGCTCCACTTTTCATGGGTGTTTAAAAAAATTAATTAATCTTACCTGATTTCTAGCAAGAGGGTTCTGTAAATGCCCATAGATTCCAGAAGTCATGGCTGCAAAGTTTTTAAGACGTAAACCATCATCTATCATTCCTGCAGCCAATTCCTTGTGATCCACATTGCCAGAATCATCAGTGGGCTCCAGCACTCGGCCATAAAGCGGACACTCCTTATCAGTGTTGATGTGACCCCAAGCTTTGCACTTAATGCATCTCACATTACGCACCGCAATTCCGAATGGTTGATCGCGGATTGTATCATCATCCTTGCAGTAGCTGAAAAGAAGTAAAGTACTACACGTTAATAAACAATTTACAAATATTGTACAGTACAGTACTCTGTTGAAGACAATGAAAAATAATACAGTGATATCCCCGTTAGCAGAGACAATTGGTGCAGAGCACTTCCGGGGATGAGAGATTTCCGGGTACCGGTAACCAGACGACTTTCTCAAACTAGGAAAAATCCCCCATTCTCGGAAATATTTCCGGTTATAGGAAAAGCTTTCCAAGTGTCTAAACTATGCATCTTGCACAGACAAACACTAGTCCACATCCTCATAATGTTTCTGTGTGCTGGGGCATTTTCAAAAGAGTCTAAACTAAAAATCTAAAAATCTATATGATATGGTCATGAATGAAGCTGTGTGTTACAGCAAAGACTGGTATTTTCCACTCCCTTTTTGCTGTGGGGGATTAGTGGAACTCATGTAACTGACCAGACCTGACACAATGTCAGGTGGAGGTAGGGTGTGGTATCGGTGGTCTCATATTACTGATCTGATACAATGTCAAGTCACCCACTGTTGGGTGAGGGATTAGTTGGTCTCAGGACCTGAAGATGTCTTGAATAAACATGAAAGCTAAAATACAGTATTTTCTATACTTACACTTATCACATTGTATCCCTTCAACATTACACTACATAAGATTTTAAAATGTGGAGTGAGAAAGCTGAAAGGTGTGGGTGATTAGAGAGTTGGAGTGGAAAAGAGCAGTAACATGCACCAGTGTTGCCAAGCTCCTCCACAGCTGATCTTTTAATTCACCACCAAGTAGTTAACGACCCATAAATTTATGTCATACAATATGGGGGTGTTTGGGTGTGATGTTGTGGTATTAATTAATAAATAAGCAATATTGCATCGTGAATGACAATCGTTTGAAGAATAGCAGAGTAATACAATTGTCACTACTATTCATCAAACTACTGCACTGTCATTAACAATACAATATTGTTTATTATTCATTAATCAATACCCCAACACCACATCATACATAAAATCTTTCGTGTGAGACATTGCGAGTTGGAGGGAGGCGGGAGGTGCTGGCAGGGAGGAGGCGATACACTCACCTCCAACACTTATTATTACTGGTATATATTCTCGTATGATCATCCTCTTATATTAAACACATTAGAAAAAATACCATGTATAATAATTAATTTGACATCAAAATTACATGACAAGTACAATAATAAGGCAATTTTTTCACCCAGACTCTCTACTGGGAGGATGGTTGGTGGCGGGTAAGCTTAGCCATTGCCAAATTGACCATTTTTTTTATTTAATCATTACAGTACTGATACATTATAAAAAGTATTGTACTGTATTATATATGGAGGGTACAGGTATTAATAAGCACAGCATATTACAGTAAACATATCTATATTAGTACAGGTTCTCCCCGACTCACGAACTACCCGACCTACGACCACCCGCACTTCCGACCTGCTCAGTCGGTAACGACCATCCATACGTACGACCGCCCAGACGGGACCAAAATTTTTTTCAAATGACGCGTGCATTTTCTATACCGAAACATTTCCGTCCAGTACGAGAGCGTCGCGTGGCTTGGGTCACCGCGTGGGTACAGCACCCACGCAGTAGAGCGCTTAGTTGGTGTTTCACTGTCGTTGTATCCGCAACTGATCGCGCTGTGTACTGACATTATTTTCGTATTTAATTGACTTTAGAATGACTGGAAAGCATACAAGTGTGAGTGCTGGTGGTGCTCAGAAAAAAAGGAGACAGTCAATTACTTTTGAGACGAAAATGAAGATAATAATGCAGTATGAAAATGGAAAAACTGTAGCAACAATTTCACGCGACCTAGGCTTCTCGCACTCGACCATATCCACTATTCTGAAGGACAAGGAACGTATTCGTGAGGTAGTGAAAGGATCAGCACCTATAAAGGGAACTATAATAACGAAGAAAAGACAAGGTCCTATTCACAAGATGGAAAAATTACTGGTGATATGGATGGAAGACCAGATACAAAAGCATGTACCCTTAAGCCTTCTAACCTTACAGGCTAAGGCAAGAAGCCTGTTCGAAAGCCTGAAGGAGCAGGCAGGAGATGAGTGCGACCAAACCTTCACAGCAAGTCATGGATGGTTCCAGAGGTTTAAGAACCACTACAGTTTACATAATGTTAAGGTGAGTGGAGAGTAGTAGGTAGTAGGCAGCTATTAAACAGAGAGGTACTACCGCCTGGGAAGATATTGGAAGCATAATGTGTTGTCTAATGGTAGACCCTGCTGCCATATGGCATCACAAATATTGTGACCAAGTCCCAGGTTGCTGATCTGACTTTCTGCCTCATTTACACACAATTGCAGGGTCTCAATTATTTCTCTTACTATTGACAACACATCAAACATATATTGTTTCTCACTCTTGGTCTTGTTTTAATTTTTTGTATTTCTTTATGGTTGTTTATTATTATTATTATTATTATTATTATTATTATTATTATTATTATTATTATTATTATTATTATTATTATTATTAGTGTTGTGGTTATTATTATTATTATATTATTTTATTTTTAATTTTGTATTTATTATAAATTTTATTTATTATGAGCTAATTATTATTATTATTATTATTATTATTATTATTATTATTATTAGTGTTGTGGTTATTATTATTATTATATTATTTTATTTTTAATTTTGTATTTATTATAAATTTTATTTATTATGAGCTAATTATTATTATTATTATTATTATTATTATTACATTTCGCCCCCCAGGCCCTGACGTAGGTCAATGACCTGTGCTTGGGTGGGCTAATCCCGTAGAAAAAAAAATCTAGTGCTGATGTTGTTGCTGCCGAAGCTTTTAAGGAGGAGCTACTAGATCGTGTCATCGTGGAGGGAAATTATTTGCCGGAGCAAATATTCAATGTGGATGAAACTGGATTAATAATAATAATAATAATAATAATTAACGGTTTATTGAAAAAATTCTGCAGCCCGAAGGCGCATGCCTGAACGGAGATACATCCGTGGGGGGGTCGTGGTCACTTTTACCCCCAATAGACCCTTCTCCTCCGGCTGGGAGGTGGGGAGATTAACGCATACAGTACTTAAGGTCAAAGCAGGTTGTGACATCACTAGTGTATAATGAGTCTTCATATGCCCTGGTTTATTCATTGATCAGTTGTCTGAGTGCACAAGTAGCCCTGTCGTGGCCATCATGTATCAATTAAATTTATAGTAGAAATTATAATATAAAATGTTATAAGACAATGGTTTAGTAGTGCTGTTAATGTGTGTGCTGAGTAAGTGTCTTGGCGCGCAAGCACGCACGCACGCATGCACACACACACACGCACGCATGCACACACACACACGCACGCATGCACACACACACACACACACGCATGCACATGCACACACACACACACACACGCACATGCACACACACACACATACATATGACAATAACAATTATATAAATTTGGGTTAATACATTTAGTTTATATAATCTAATCACCCTACAGTAATCTTCCATAAGCTGTGAGGTGCCTTGTGCTGTTCACCTGAGGGGAAATTCCTTAGTAGGCTCACCTTGAGATTGTAGGGTTAACCCAGCATCTCCTTCAGAGACACCTCCCCTCACAGGCCCAGTCCTCAGGACCTTAGTAAACACCTGATTCTCACAAGAATTGGACAGGTGACTTAACTCAGCCCAGCTGAGCCCTGTCCTTAACTAACACTCACAGCTCACAGTGTTAATTACGATGCTTTCACTCATAGCCTGTGACCTTTTTAGTTTATCAATAAATGGAGAAAAGACCATTTGGGTTTGTAACTTAACCCCTTAACTTATTTATATATAAGCCAAGTTAAAAGGGAGCTCTACCCAACACACACACACACATCGCCTAGAGAATGGTTTGAGCATGGAAGGAGATAATTTTTGTACATAAAATATGTGCTGCAGGAATACCTCACTATTCACAATCCTGTTTATCCAAAATTGACATTCTAATACAGAAACATCCCTATTGGCACCTATGATGGCAACTTATACTGTACAATTTATGGTTCACCTTTCATAAGATGGCCCTTATTTCTGGAGTTTTTTTTAGTTCCAAAAGTTGTCTTACACACCAGTATACTGTATATGGTACCTACCTCTCTCTTGGTGCATTGAATTTGCGCTGCCATTCAAATTTATATTCCGGTTCTCCATCTTCCTTTTCCCTCTCCTTCTTAACCCCGGCAGGAGCTTCATACATAAAGTTCAGTGATAACTTTTCTTTGTTCTCCCCTTTTGCCAGGAGGGCTTTATTGTTATACAGTTCCTGCTCTTTCTCATACTGGATGCGAAGTTCATCTTGCTTCTTGCGCTCTGCATCAGCCTTCTGCTCAGCTATCCACACCTGTTAAAGTAATAAGACAGGTGTATTAAAATATTATATGTTCACAGAAAACTGAAACATACAGTACAGTATTGTAAATATAATATACACCTCTATCTGAATTTCATTATTGTACACATGTAAGGTTATTTGACCCCTGAGGTATGTTTCATTTCACAACAAAAAGTTTTATTTTAAGAGTTTTGGATCTGCAAACATGTTTCCAGCAACATATAAGCTAAATAGCAATCTGTGATGACTGCATTCAAGCAAATTTACCATTTTCTTTTACTTTAAGCCCTGGTGATGGAGAGAGTTTTTAAACATGCCTGAGATAAACAATTTGGTAATAATATTAACATTTAATTTGCTTTTGCATTAAAAAAACAAAAAACAAGCCAATGGTTCTGTAGTTCCTCACACGTAAAGAAAATTAAATTGCCCGTACAAAGTTTAACCAAAATATTTATATAGCTTCTGATATCCATAGAACTACCGGTGTGCATAATGAAACCATTCCCCTATTGTCATATACTATACAATACTGTATACAGCACACACAGCAGGAAGCCATTGACATAACAACAGTACAGGTGTATTAGCCTCTGTCACATTAATATTACTATATAAATATGGGCTAAAGACATATATTCATTATATACATTCTATCATCCAGACTATTGAGCATACAGCTACATAAGTATTTGTTCTGTCACACCTCCTAGGGTGGACAGCCCATAAATCTACGGACTCAACCCTCAGTGTGTTGGTAGGCTGTTTAGATAATGTCCGAGTTGAAGGGTGGGTTATTCTCCAACCACCAGGCACCAGACTCAAAGAGAGTACAGCCCAGTTCCCACAGTTCACAGCCCGACATGATACCCTAAAGTCGTGTCGTGAGATCAGCTCTCCAGGCTGTACCTCTCTCTAATTATATCAGCTAATTACAAGCTAATAGCTAATGCTCAATAGTCTGACAATACCAAATAATTGTACAGACATGACTACCCAATATAACTAGAAAATCACCACATGAGTTTACATTAAACCAAGGAACAATGAGTGAAGAGAACAGTACCTGTGTGTCTAGTGTAACTTACAAGCTAAGATAATTACAAGTACAACCCAGGACAGCTGTGACGATTTCAACTATCAACCAATCTACGACTGTATCAAAGGTGACACGCTGTGAGATTACCTAATATCTCACTCAGCTGCATCAAAGGTACCAGCGACTAACCTACACTCGTTCAGGCAAGTGTTAACAAGTGAGATACCGGTAGTTCGATATCATACCAGAGCTAAAACACAGGGGGTCCCCAGGTTACGAACGGGTTCCATTCCTGAAGACGTTCTTAAATCGGATTTGTATACTGTATATGATGTCCTTATAAACAAAAGACTAAGATTAAGTAATAAAAAAAAGTGTACTGTATATGGACTGAAAAATCACTATCCATATTAAAAGTAACTTTTTTCATCATAATAAATAAATATTTTTTATACTTCCAAGTTTGTTATAACTGTGACTCACCTCATACTGATTAGCAAGTCAGCCATACAGAGGAAGTCAATTTGTAAGTAGATCCCCGTTGTCTTGCAGTACAGCACCAAGGAACCATCTTGAGAAACAATGTCTCACCTCTCCTTTAAGAATGTAAACCATCCAAAAATTTGTCTTTCTAATTAAAGTTCTGTCAATATTTATCCAATCATTAAAATTCGAAGATATTAACACTTACTGCTGTGCCCTCTTTGTTTACAAATCTATCAATCACTTGCTTGACAATTATTTCCAATTCTGGAATAATCAGAGATACAACTTAAGGCACCCAGAGCTACTGAGACCACCCCCCATGCACTCCACTCAGTTCCAGACCTCCATAAAATATCACCGTGTGAAGGTGTGGAACAACTTACCCCCACCCATCCCAGCAAAGACTACGCTCCCTTCCTTTAAATCATCTCTTAAAAAATATCTATTGTCTAAGTATTAATATTTCTTGTAACACCTACTATATTTATGGTACCTGTTTTTATTGTACCATCAAAACCGTTTTATCGGAAATTATGATGCAAATAGATAGAAATTACCATTGCAATAAACATATTTGCCAAATACGTAGACATAATCCTGACAGCTCTGTCCTTTTTTTCAATCTTAATACTGTACAACCCAAGTTGTACTGCTCCCCCATTATATTTATGGTATGATTTTCAATTCCACTGTAATTTATGTATATATTTATAATATAATAAAAAAATAGTATGTGAAGGTGTTGTTTTCGGTAATCAGATGAGGAATCCATAAACTTGAAAGGTATTCATAACATTTTTACAAGAAATGACAAGTTAGGTAAGGTTTTCCAAGATTTGCTTCGTGTTCTTTTTCAGTATTTTATCCAACATTTCCCTCAACTACAAAGACCTGTATACTTTGAACTATTAATATTGTGGGTAATTCTATCGGTTGAAATCCTCGAAAAATATAAATTTCCGACAGAAACGATATAGAAAAGATTATTTTTAGTTCTTTTTCTTTCTCTATATAAGACTCAAAGTAGGTGTTGGCATCTTCAAAATATTAACCTGACCACGTAAATAACATCTCTAAAAATGTTGGTAAAATTCTACGTATAATTCTTCGGGTGATAATCATTTTTGCTTTTATTTGGTTTAGCACGTCTTCAAATCACATAGAAGCAATTACTTTTAGGCAATTTCTACTTCATATATACATTCCTTAACCCTTGAAGCCTCTTGGAAACATGTTTCAGAAAAATCGCCCAAGTGAGGAATGCCTAAGAAATTAGATCAATAAATCTCCACCTGCCATTTCTTGTCCCACATCAATATACACCAGAAATCAAATATCTCGTGAAAAAATTCGATGGTATGGTAAAACGAATAATTACCATCGTTTCCTCCCCATAACTATACTAATAATCATTGAGCAGTACTGGTGGAGGCACTAACAGCAGCACCTGAGGTAAGGTAGTCACTGTCAACACACACACACTCACCCGTTTTAAATTATCTCTAGACGCTGGGTGGAAGAATTTCTTGCACATGTAGTTATTGAATCCTTTACCCATGGTAGTGGCGGCAATCTGTCAGCCACTGAGCCCTAACTTAACAACACCTCCAGACAGTCGACACTATCAGTCCATCACCCACCACGTCTTGTTTACCTGATGTCACCAATGTTAAGATTCTACCACGTACAAGGTCGTACTATCATTATTTTGTTCATGTATTATAAACTACCTAAATGTATCATAATCTAATTATACCTATCCAATATATTTATGATAGTTTACATAGTTTATATATAATTCGGATCGTCTACTTCAATAACGGAAAAACAGATGAATGACTGAGCGCTATTTTCGTGGTAGATATCTAACACTACACAACTTTCAGAGTGACTGTAACGTTCTTATAAGGATATGACGTAAGAAATTAATAAGTAAAATGCAAAGACGTAAATGAGAATTCTGAAAGTGGTAGTCTGCTGTACACACAAGTTGACCGTTTAGGGAGTACTTTTACTTACTTTTATCCTCTTTACCACTGATCGGCTCGTTAGCCCCTTGGGTGATCGGTCACGTCTCTCGCACTGTTGGCAAGTACTGGGCATGTACTGGCTCCTGAATGTACCTGAACCTGTTCCAGTGTTGGTCAAGTCTGGTCTTGAAAGAGCTCACACTCGGTGCCTTCACAACACTCTCTGGCAGATTGTTCCAAGAGTTCACAACTCTCACCCCGTAAAAGTTACCCCTCACAGTTTTCTAGATTTTTTTTTTTCGGGGATTAGCCCACCCACAGGTCACTGACCCATCATCGATGCCTGGGGGAATGTAATAATAATAATAATAATAATAATAATAACACTGATAATAATAGTAATAACACTGATAATAATAGTAATAATAATAATAATAAAGATTCTACAGAACCATAAAGAAATACGAAAATGAAAAAAATATCAATAGTGAGAAACAATATACAGAATGTATGTTGTGTTGTCAAAGTAAGAGAAACAATTGTGACTGCAATTGTGTGTAAAAGAGGCAGAAAGTCAGATCAGCAACCTGGGACTTGGCGTCATCAGCAAATATTTGTATGGAGGAATGTACAGCATCTGGCATGTCATAATAACTTAAAGTGAATACATATTGGCAATCGAGCTGGTAAGGACAACTGCCAGCCTATTCGTGTCATAGGTGCCACAGAGACTTTAAATTTTATTTTGTTTGTGTGCTTGCTCAAGGACTGAATCTGTGTTTATAATACACCACCCACAGGGAGATACAGTGTACACAGTGATAGTTCATAGTGTCATCAGTGACCGCTGAAGTTGTAAATAACTTAAAGTGAGCGCTCACTAGCAAGCAAGCTGGAAAGGCACCGTGCCAGCTGAAACCAAGTCGTGTCATAGGTGCCACAGAGACTTTAAATTTTATTTTATGTTGATTGTGTGCTTGCTCAAGGACTGAAACTGTGCCTACAATACACCATTCACAGGGAGATACAGGGTACGCAGTCGCAGACGACAACTCCATAGGCAACAGAGAGTAGCTAAGTACTTTTTTCTCTCTTTATTTTCTTTGAAATAGGTGTAGATCTATACACAGTCTACACCCCCCCCACAACAACAACAACCATGAGTTTGGTATGTGATTACTGCAGGGAGACGTCGGATATGGAGGATGCAGGCCTAACTAATGCAACGTCTAGGAAGTTACTAACTGCCGTAAAGCTTGATGGCTGTTGCTGGTATTGCCCTGGCTGCATAGTCAAGGTGAATGAAGCGATTGCAATCCATAAGGGAACGAGTTCTCTAGGGACGAAAATAGATGAAGCAGGAGCCCTGCTGGTTGACAAACTGGAGCAAGTTGAGAAAGAGATCCTTGCTAAGACTGAGGAAGTAGCTAATAGAATGGAGGTGGTTGCTAAGAGGAGCTATGCGGACGTATTAGGAGGGCCACGGGTGGGGGGGGCGGAGAGTAATGCAGAATCAGTACAGGTTCTACAGCAGATTGGGACTCTGAAAAAGTGTGTCGAAGAAATGAAAATTAACGGACCTACTGTTAGGGGAGAGGAGGAACACCAGGAACGGCTCCAGCGCAGGAACAATGTAATAGTTTTTGGAGTCCCAGAGAGCCAGGCAGAGGGAACTGTGAGTAAGGAAACACACGACAAGGTGCTGTTTCAAAATATTTGCACAGAGGTTCTGAAGATTCCAGCAACCCCTCAGGATGTGAGGAGACTGGGACAAAAGCAGGGGGCTAAGCCTCGCCCCCTCAGGATCACACTAGGGAGTGAGGAGGAAAAATGGCAAGTTATCCGGCAGGCAAAAAACTTAGCAAGGAGCGAGGCATTTCGAGATGTATTTATTCACCCAGACCGCACGGTAATGCAGAGGGAACAGCACAAGAAGCTCCTGCTGGACTTGAAGCAGAAGAGGGAGGAGTCGAGGAGGAACGGGGACAGGTGCACATGGGTTATACTCAGGGGGAGGGTAGTGGAAACAAGTGTGCCGACACAGGGCCAGGGGGCAGCAGTGCACCCTCCACCCACTCAACCCCCCACCCGGGAGGCGGCACCAGCTCAGCCTACCGGACAGGAGGGAACGAGCGCCGTGTAAACAATGACATTTTTAACCACACCCTGCAAAATACAGTGTACTTAGCAAATGCTGCAGCTTCTGAGAATGTGGGTGGAGCGGGTTTATTACTAAGAGCAGAGACGTTACCGAGAACAAATTCTGGCTTGAATGTCATGTACACTAATACCGACACGTTCCTGGATAAGAGGGAGGAGTTTGAAACACTACTAAGAGTACACCAACCAGATATTGTAGGAGTTGTAGAACTGTTGTACAAGAACAGGAGAATCGACCCAGAGGAATGTGAGTTCAGTATTGCTGGATATGACTCATTTACGAACCTAACTCAAGAATCCTGCAGGAGGGGTGTGGTTATCTACGCTAGGCAAGACCTTAGAGCCAGCCAGGCGAGGGTACAGGGAGAGGATGTCTTTGAAGAGTCCAAGTGGTGTAAAATTAAATTAAAGGGAGGGGACTTACTTATCGTCGGGTGTATCTACAGATCCCCGAACTGTGGCCCACTAAATCAAAGGAACTTAAGAACCTTAATAAACAATGCGGCGATGCTCAACCCCAGCCACCTCCTTATCATGGGGGACTTTAACTATGGCGACATCGACTGGAGAAACGAGTCAACCCCGAATGACTTGAATAATCCTGCTACTCTTTTTGTAGAAACTCTGAGAGATAATTTTCTGTTCCAACATGTGAGAGACCCGACACATTACAGAGGGGAGCAAACACCCAAGCCACTTGACCTCATCATAACAAACGAGGAGGGTATGGTGGCCAAACTGGAACACCTTGCCCCAGTTGGCACCAGTCACCATACAGTGTTGTCATTCAGATTTAACTGTTACCTAGTTCAAGATAAGGCCAGGCCAAGGTGCAAATATTACAAGGGAAATTACAATGGGATGAGGGAAGAGATGAGGGGTATCAACTGGCCTGACTTATTAAGGTACAAGAACGCAGACACTACGCTGAATATCATAACTAGTAAAATGACCCATTTGATCGATAAATATATACCCAAGACCAAACCCAGTGCTTCTAGGAATACGAGGGGATCCCTACACATGAACCATGCGGCGGTCGACAAAATTAAGAAGAAAACCCAGAAATTCAAGACGTGGGTTGGGTCAAACGATGAGCAAGACAGGAGGATGTATGCAAGAGCCAGAAACCAAGCAAAGATAGAGTGTAGGAGGGCTGAAAAGGAGTTCCAAAGGCTGGTTGCACGCGAGGTCAAGTCAAACCCAAAGGCGTTTTACCGCTATGCAAAGTCGAAATTGAAAACGCGAGTAGGAGTATCAGACCTGAGGCTTGAAGATGGTAGTTACGCAGATTCTGACCAGGATAAAGCTGAGGCATTGAACAGCTTCTTTTCCTCAGTGTTCACAAGAGAGGATGCAACTAACCTTCCTGCGTTTGAGGACAGACGGTTCGACACAGCACTGACCCACATTGTGTTCACAGAAGAGGGTATTAGAAATAAACTGTCCAGGCTAAAGGTCCATAAGAGTCCTGGACCTGACATGGTGCATCCTAGAGTGCTAAGGGAGCTGTGCAACGAGCTTGCAGAGCCCCTGAAGATTCTGTTTTGTAAATGCCTGGATGAACAAATGGTCCCCAGTGAATGGAAAGTGGCTTATGTGAGTCCTATCTTCAAGAAGGGCGATAGTCACTCCACGAACAACTATAGACCGGTGAGCCTGACCAGCATAATATGTAAAGTACTTGAGAGTATTATCAGAGATGCAGCGATGGAACATCTACTACGAAACAACCTTGTAAAAGATTGCCAACACGGTTTTATGCCGGGGCGCTCTTGCTTGACACAATTGCTCAAGGTATTGGATATTTGGACCCATATTCTAGAACGGGGTGGTAATATCGACAATATTTACCTAGATTTTGCCAAGGCTTTCGACAGTGTACCCCACGAAAGGCTGAAAATCAAACTGGAAGGGTACGGAATTCGGGGAAATGTCCTAGCGTGGATAGAAGACTTTCTACATGACCGCAAGCAATGTGTGGTGATTAATGGCACGAAATCGTCATCTGTACCTGTAACAAGTGGGGTACCGCAGGGTAGTGTATTGGGCCCGCTGTTGTTTGTTTGTTTCATAAATGATATGCCTGACGTTGTACACTCCTCCATACAAATGTTTGCCGATGACGCCAAGTTATTTCGGGAAATTAAGAACCAAGCGGACTGTGAAGAGCTGCAGAAGGACCTCTGTGGGCTCCAGGAATGGTCGAAGGAATGGCTGCTGAGATTCAATGTCACGAAGTGTAAGAGGATGCACCTGGGGCGTACCAACGGTAAGGAGGCGTACCATATGTCCCAACGGGATGAAGAAAATGTACTAGTTGAGACTGTGTGTGAGAAGGACCTAGGTGTGTATGTTGACAATGAGCTGAAGTTCTCGGGCCATTGTGAGAAGAAGGTAAATCAGGCAAATAAATTATTGGGTCTTATAAGAAGGTCGTTCAGATATCTAGACGGTCCGTCCCTCGTGACGATCTTCAGGAGTGAAGTGCTTCCCCATCTGGAGTACTGTCACCCCATCTGGTCCCCGAGATATGCTAGGGACTGTCAGTTGGTTGAAAATGTTCAAAGGAGGGCCACCAAGCTGGTGCCTGCACTTCGGCATCTCAGCTACCCTGCGAGATTGGAGCGCCTGAACTTGCCTAGCTTATACTACAGACGGGCAAGGGGGGACCTAGTTGAGGTTTATAAGCATCTCAGGGGGCACTACTCAGTTGAGTGTCCTTACTTGGAGCTGGCGGACGCTCGCCCCACAAGGGGTCACAGCTCAAGATTGAAGAAGCCGCAAGTCCGGAAAACCGTGAGGGCAAACTTTTTCGGAGTGAGGGTTGTAAACTCTTGGAACAATCTACCAGAAAGTGTTGTGACGGCACCGAGTGTGAGCTCTTTCAAGAGAAGACTTGACCAACACTGGAGCGGGTTCAGGTACATTCAGGAGCCGGTGCATGCCCAGTATTTGCCAACAGTGCGTGACAGAGACGTGACCGATCGCCCGGGCGGCTAGCGAGCCGACCTTTTGGTGAAGAATATAAAGGAAAAGAGTCGTGACCGATCGCCCAAGCGGCTAACAAGCCGATCAGTGGCGAAGAGGATAAAAGTAAAAGTAATTTATGAAGCAAACAAACAACAGCGGGTCCAATACACTGCCCTGTGGTACTCCGCTTGTGACAGGTACGCATGATGATTTCGTGCCATTAATCACCACACACTGCTTGCGGTCATGGAGAAAGTTTCTCTTGAACCGTTTGTTAATCATAGAGATTTTTCATTTATTTTCCTCTCAGTGTTACTTATTTTTAACATTCCCCCATAACACCACATTTCCAAAGCCTTTATCCTCTTTCTGTTGTCTGCTAAGTGTCCACACTTTTGACCCATCCAACAGTCCTTGGCTATATGAAACCTTTCAGCAGCCTTTAACTTAAATTTATGTTCATGCCCCTTTTCATTGGTTCTTTTAAATTATTAAATGTTTTTGCTTAAACTATTCTTGTTCATCTATGATCACATCTAATGTTACTTCACAAATACATAAAAGTATCCACTTGTTTAAGTTACCTGTTACCTTCCATAATTTTAATTTAAGATTTATTTCCAATTTGAAAACAACCAGCTTTAACACTTAGCCAATATTATTCACTTTTTCTCTGTTAACCCATTTTAGTAATGCCTCTTTACTATCCGTGATAAGAGCAGTGTCATCTGCATGACAGATATTACTTTACATTAAGAGTTTTATTCCTTCATTATCACTTAAGACTTCTCTCATTAAGAATTGTGAATGTTTATCACAAAATGTTAGAGATAGAACACAGCCTTGTCTTACTCCCTGTCTAACTCTGAACTAACCAGTAAGTTCATTATTTACTAACACTGCATAGTGTGAGTACCAGAAGTATTTATCTTATTTACCTGATGGCTACCCACTAAAGGTGGCCATGCCGAGGGAAGGAGGCTAGTGGCCTGTGTAGGATCTAAATAATTGGGTAGAGGCGAGTGGTAACACACAGTGGTCAGTCATTCCCCTCGTCAGACGTCTCTACTTTACTTTTATCCTCTTCACTACTGATCGGCTCAGTAGCCGCTTGGGCGATCGGTCATGTCTGTTACGTACTGTTATTACACGTTATCCTTTTCACCTCTGATCGGCTCGTTAGCCGCTTGGGCGATCGGCCACGTCTCTGTTATGCACTGTTGGCAAGTACTGGGCATGCACCGGCTCCTGAACCCAACCTATAAATGTGTGGGTTTAATAAGACGCCTCGTAGTGAACACCGAGTCTACCTGACAACACCTGGGGAGGACTTTCACTGTAATGCATTTGAGGTCTCGTATTTTGAGTGATGATTGCTGGGTGTGGGTGTGGTGGATGTGTGTGTTGGCGTGTGGGTGTGTGTAGGTGTGGGTGTGTGTGTGTGTGTGGTTGATGGGCGTGGTTAATGGATGCGGTTGGTGTATTGTGATGGTAGGTGTGGCTGATATGTAGTTGTGTGGATGTGTTGTAGATGTGAATAGACATGTGGATAACAGAGGCGGTTCAGAGACGCGACGGTAGTTTTATGGTGTGACTGTATATAGATAAAGACAAGTGATCGTGGGTTCTTCGTGCCCAGTTGGCTATATAGTTCGACAAAACAGTAATGGAGGGAATATTTGGAGAAGTGCGCTCACGCCTGTGTTTAACGTCGGGGCACTTGCAATGATCACTTGTTAATAAATCGGTTTCCTGCGAACGACAGTCAAACAGTAATAAAAATACACAACTACATGTAAATATTTTATTTTTTCTGTAGCTATATCGGTCTTATACAAATAATTTCCTATAGTATATTAGAGATAGATAATCATGGTCGTGGTTGTTATAATCATGGTCGTGGGTGTTATAATCGTGGTCGTGGTTGATATAATCATGGTCGTGGTTATTTTAATCACGGTCGTGGTTGTTATAATCATGGTCGTGGTCGTTATAGTCATGGTCGTGGTTGTTATAATCATAGTCGTAGTTGTTATAATCATGGTCGTGTTTATTTTAATCATGGTCGTGGTTGTTATAATCATAGTCGTGGTTGTTATAATCATGGTCGTGGTTGTTATAATCATGGTCGTGGTTGTTATAATCTTGGTCGTGGTTGTTATAATCATGGTCGTGGTTGTTATAATCTTGGTCGTGGTTGTTATAATCATAGTCGTGGTTGTTATAATCATGGTCGTGGTTGTTATAATCATGGTCGTGGTTATTATAATCATGGTCGTGGTTGTTATAATCTTGGTCGTGGTTGTTATAATCATGGTCGTGGTTCTTACAATCATGGTCCTGTTTGTTATAATCATGGTCGTAGTTGTTATAATCGTGGTCGTGGTTGTTGTAATCGTGGTCGTGGTTGCTATAATCATGGTCCTGGTTGTTATAATCATGGTCGTGGTTATTATAACCATGGTCGTGGTTGTTTTAATCATGGTCGTGGTCGTTTTAATCATAGTCGTGGTTGTTATAATCATGGTCGTGGTTGTTATAATCATGGTCGTGGTTGTTATAATCTTGGTCGTGGTTGTTATAATCATGGTCGTGGTTGTTATAATCTTGGTCGTGGTTGTTATAATCATAGTCGTGGTTGTTATAATCATGGTCGTGGTTGTTATAATCATGGTCGTTTTATAATCATGGTCGTGGTTGTTATAATCTTGGTCGTGGTTGTTCATGGTCGTGGTTCTTACAATCATGGTCCTGTTTGTTATAATCATGGTCGTAGTTGTTATAATCGTGGTCGTGGTTGTTGTAATCGTGGTCGTGGTTGCTATAATCATGGTCCTGGTTGTTATAATCATGGTCGTGGTTATTATTACCATGGTCGTGGTTGTTTTAATCATGGTCGTGGTCGTTTTAATCATGGTCGTGGTTGTTTTAATTGGTATTGATGACAGTCAGTTCACAGTCGGTATATTCTTGGACCTCTCTAAAGCCTTCGATACTGTCGACCATACCATCCTCCTTTCAAAGCTTGAACATTACGGCGTTAGGAGCCTGTCCCACAATTGGTTTACCTCATATCTGTCCAACAGGATGCAGTATGTCCGTTATAATAACCACCAATCTGACTCCTCGCCAATCTTGTATGGAGTCCCCCAAGGTTCAATTCTCGGTCCAGTACTGTTTTTGTTGTATATAAACGACATAGTCCAATAGTCCATGCTAGCTCACTCATAAAATACAACTTATTTGCAGACGATAGTAATCTCTATGCCAGCAACTCAGACCTCCATTCTTTGATGAGAACTATGAACACTGAATTAACTAAAGTCGGGACCTAGGTAATACGTAGCCTAATAAACTAACCCTAAATCTTGAGAAAACCCACTACACGATCTTTCACAGAAGAAAAAACTTACCTCCAGACTTGAACCCCCTGTACCTTGGTAATACAGTCCTCAAACGCGACAAAATACTAAATTCCTCGGAGTTATCGTTGATGAGAAACTTAACTGGAGAAACCACATACAAGCCATTCACAGTAAAATGAATAAACAGTGCGGTATCATGTATCACACTCGACAGTCACTCACTCTCACAGCAATGAAAGAAATCTATCATGATCTTGTTTACCAACACCTGATACACACTATGGGGGGCCTCTGGCTCTTCAAAAACACAATCTCTGGTTACTGCACAAAAGAGAGTTGTACGGACAATGACCTACTTGAAAAAGACAGATCACACAAACGAAAAATTTGATATATTGAAATTTTTAAAATTCGAAGATATTAACACCTACTGCTGTGCCCTCTTTGTTTACAAATCTATCAATCACTTGCTTGACAATAATTACTTCCAGTTCCGGAATAATCAGAGATACAACTTAAGGCACGTTGATCTTCTGAGGAAGGCCAATTCACTTTTATGTTTTTTACCAGTATGTTTTATAAGGAATAACGTTGATCTTCTGAGGAAGGCCAATTCTGAGGAAGGCCTAGTCCACTCTGCCCGCTACCTAACGGGCTACATACTGCCCAGAGGGGGTCTGGTGGCAGCAGCCCTTAAAATTTAGACTATAGTTAAGTTTTCCCCTTAGAATTAGTGACCCCAGATCTGGCAGTATAGCATCTATTGGTGACCTGTTATGTTAGCTTCTCTGTTACGAACTGTTGGCAATTACTGGGCATGTACTGGTTCTTGAATGTACTGTACGTAGGATCAAGTGTATACATACCGTAAACACAAATGATTCCATTACGACTTTAGTGATATACTTCCCAGGCCTCCCAAAGGTAAAAATGAAAACACTCCTTTATTATAAATAGGGCTTTACTTAACATATATTTACACAAGTGATATAAAAAAAATGGGCGACTTAAAATTATTTACAGCGGACCGGTGTTGTGGTCCGGGTGTGGCCCGGATGGGCGGTCCGGGCCACACAGGAGTACCCGCCATAGATCCCCACAGGTGTTGGTGGCGGCCCACAGGCGACTGCTTATATCACCATGTGGGCCGCGGGGGGTGTCTAGGCAGGCCGGGCGGCGGGCGTACAGCAGATGTCCGGGGCTGGGGGCGTGGCAGCGACACTAGTAGCCGTAGCCGTACATCATGGTGGAGCACTTGGTGACGGTGTGGTACTCGGGTACCGTGTTGTAGACCGTCATGGTGACATACTGGTGTACGGACTCGGTGACTGTGTTGTAGACGTACTCATGCTTGACCTCGGTCTCGTACTGGGTGACGTAGTATGGGTTGGTGACGGTCATAGTGACGTATTGCTGCTGGACTTTAGTCTGGGTGACGTAGTAACCCTTGGTCTCGTAGCCGGTGTTGGTGACGGTATTGGTCATGGGGTAGCTCTGAGTTTCGGTACGGGTCACATACACTGCCGTGGTCTCCGTGAAGTACTGCTTGGCTGTGTTGTAGCCATAGGCAGACTCAGTCATGTAGACGGGCACGGTGACCATCTTTGTATCATAGAGGATCTTGGTCTCCGTGTAGATGTTAGGTTCAGCATAGGCAGTCATTGTGGAGTACTGGATGATAGTCTTTGGGTAGACCAGGGTCTCCGTGATGTAGGCGTATTCAGTGGTGGCCACCTTCTTCACCACCGAGGCGTAGTGACCCTCAGTGTCCTGCACATCCTTCGTCATCGTCTTGGTCACATACTTAGGGTAGCAAGCTTGCTCCTTGGGTGGTGGGCCATAGGAGGGGGAGATGGGTGCCACTTTGATGTACCCACCACCGGATGGCGCGCCGTAATCTGGCAGGCCAGTCACCGTCCACGCCAGAGCCATCACCACGCCCAGCACAGCTGTCCCGAACATCTGCAACAATAACAATACAGATTTTACTCCACTGATGCATTGGTATACAGTACTCCTATGGCAGGATAACTTAGGTCCAGATCCTCAAAGGTTCCAGTGAAACAATATTCCTGGTAATTGAAGATATAAAAATCTATCTCATCAGTTAACTTTAACTAAAGCACAAAATCAACGTCCAAAAACAAATTAAAAATGTTATTGAGACCCTGCCTTAACGATACCAGTTGGGAGACAAAATTAAACAAATTCCGTATGGGGAGTGAAACTAAACTCATATCTTGACCACCGTCTTAATGTCGTAGCTTAATTTAGAGAGTCGGTCATCTATGTTCCAGAATCCTTCCGAGAGGAAGAACAAGTGAAATACTGTAAAAACCTTAAAAATATGAGCTGGCTATTAAACTTCAAGTCGATAACTCTTAAACGACAAGTCCAGAAAAAAGCCATCATCTGTTTTTTGTAGACACTAAGTGTGTGAACCCCTTCACTCTAACGCCATCCCTTTCTCCTCTTGCTAGCCCCAGGTCCTCCCCTTCCATCCCTCCCGTCACGTGGCTCTAATGGAAGTGAAAGTGGCAATTACCCCCCCCCCCCCAACCCCAACCCACCTGGGGTGGGGGTGGGAGTATCGGAGCTGGCGTGTTGTAATCAACTACAGTACGACACTAAGTAGAGAAGAAAAAGCATTACCTGGAAACATCAAATCTCTGAACTTCCTTCTTGCTGTGATGTAAATAAACCATCGTCATCATTAATTTTATATTGCTTCGTAAAATATTAATTAAGAGCAGCATTTTTGTATGAACGCGTTTTTTTCCTTTGATCAGTCAATTCAAGATAATTATAACGTCTACAATAAAACAAGTTACTACACTACCACAACAACTGAAGTGGTGGTGTTGGAGTGAGAGCTGTGGTTGTTGTGGGTGTGACAGGCACAAGCGGTTCAAGATGGTACGGCGAGAATAAATTTCCAAGTGAAACTCGACAACATCCGGGGTGAAAGCCCCCACTAGCCAGCGAGATCCAGCCTGCACGCTGCGCCGCCTGGGTTTGTTGCGACTGGAACATGCCATAATTCCGACCCACTCTCACTAGTCTCTCTACTAAAAAAAAAAGTAAATAAATAAAAATAAAAAATATATAAAAAAGGACTACAACTACTAAGGCACTACAATATTAATAAATCGCGTGAGGTAAAACGAACTTTCTACATTCTCTTCTGTTGATACCTAGATCGAGACGTTCACGCGGGATTGTGGCGGTGAGATCTTGATAATAATAACGCGTTCTCAATATACGGTATTTTGTACTTTCACATTTGAGTAGAAAAAGTACAAATATGAAAAACATTTCACTCAAATATGTTTTTAACCGTTATTTGCACTAATAAACAAGTAAGAGTATCAGCTCTGCTATTTAATGGTTATGATAACTTTGTAAGAAACTGGGATGATATATTCACTTCGCTGTAGATTATGACGTATTTAAGTTAGATAAAGTAGACACAATCATGCATTGAATAACAGTCCTTCACATTTAATAATTAACATGCACGAAATTTATTACGTTCTCTTTTGCCTATACAGCATTGGGAGACATTCTCTCACGTACTGAACTCTACTTTATACAAAAATAATAATATTGAACAATACCAAAAAACATGTTATTGCAGTACAATTAATTTTATTATCAGGTTTAAGTGACTGACTATATAAGTAACATGTACAGTACACACAAGAAGTGATCCGCCTGGGTCGTTCTCCTTTATGTCTCTTGGTTGAACGGCGTCGTCAAGGCTGTAATTACAAATTTACTTTCTAATCCCTCGGCCGTAATGCCTGGTGGCGAGGATCGTTCCCAACCCATAACAGATGGCTGCCTCATGTGACTTGGTTCTGCGCGTATGTTATTCGAATACTAAGCAGGTGTAATGATGTACCTTGATACCTTTATGGAGTTAGTACGTTCACAGTTGACGAGGTCTGGGAGGAATTGACATTATTTTGGCATGAAGGTTGTAAATCTAAGGAAACAGCCACTGATGGTGTAATTATTGCAAAATAACAAAAACAAATTATTTGAAAATAAACTCAACTAATTTACACACTAATTAGTTATTAGTGCCTGTATAGGATCACATGATTATGAACAGCCTTGAAGGCATTGTATAATTTTGAAAATTAATTTCCGAATCTAGATACTAAGAGGAGAAATTTGAACCATACTTCTGTTATAAAACCCAATTCAACTTACACTTTTATGATATCTATATTAGGTCTGACTATTATACACATACCACACATTATACAAAATGTAGCAAATTTCAGCTGGACTAAAACCACGATAATATAAATATAATAAAGTACAGTATCAGAAAATGAGGTTAGCTGTAGCAAGGTTAGGTTGTCTCCGAGTGGGGTTCAAGGTTCGGTACTGCGTTTTAGACTTGCAGTATGACGGCGCGGTGAACCTTGACATGGCCTTGGTAAACCCGTCACATCTGCCCCGATCTCTCTTCCTCACCGAACAACCTTACTTTCACTGCCTTTCTTGCTCCACCTTTCTCCGTCACGCGCACTTTCTCTTCCTCTCACCATAAAGGAGATTGTCATCATTCTCTGCATTCTTTTTTTGGTGTAAGTGTTCACCCCCTCAAAATGGTTCCTTGTTCAGTTATACAATGCACATACTGTACAGGAGATAACAATATGAACTTTGTACGAAAAACAAACAAGTTTTATTTCCGTTATATAAAAATATTTTCAACTTTTTCGCCATGTTTGCTTTGACTGTCGCAAGTTTTTCACCGTCTAACAAATCAGACGCTAATGGATATCAGTTTATGTGGTGGTAACAGGGGACCAGCTTAACCACTGACTGAAATTGTCTCGATTCAATAATTTCCAGTTATTGTAATTTGTACGTCATCATAGTTGTTTAATTCAAAATAAATTTACAATATATATTATTATATGAAAGGCGAGCACATACAGTACAGTATTTGTTCAGCATCCCGGAAGGAGGGGCACCGAGTCTAATTTCAGTTTAATATTAGTGTATTAATAATAATAATAATAATAATAATAATAATAATAATAATAATAATAATAATAATAATAATAATAATAATAATAATAATAATAATAATAATAATAATAATAATAATAATATTATTATTATTATTATTATTATTATTATTATTATTATTATTATTATTATTATTATTATTATTATTGTTATTATTGTGTTGTTAGTGTTGTTGTTTTGCGTCAGTTTTGTTATATCTCAATGAAACAGACTTCTCATCACTGGTATTGGCTGTCACCAATATACCTTGAATGATACCTAATGCTGGTCTTGAATATAATGACGTAAAATGCATATTACCAGTAGAAGGAATATATATCAATATGGAATGTGAAACTATGAGGTGCAGGTGAAGAACCAAGCGGACTAACTTTCTGCTACGTCGTGATGGTGACTGGTGCTGCAACCTATTTATGTGTTTATCATAATCTCAGGGTCTCCAGAACTCTAAGGTATGGAATAATTATATCGACGCTGTACATATGGAGGAGTACTTGTGTGTGATACTGCTGTTCCTGTGGTAAAAAGATGATGGCCAGGTAGAAAGTGCGGGCGTGTATTAAACTTTGGAATATTTGCTATTATCTTTCCCTACCAGGTTAGAACGCCGGAAAAGTTGTGACAGCTGAGAAAGAAATTTTGCAGAGACACACAATTGAGAGAGAGTAACCAAACTGCTTGGATGACAATGTGTCGGCGGAGGACAGCCTGGGGTGTCACTATGTATACCACTGCCACCAACACCCACGCCTGACACTCACCTCCAGGCAGGAAATAACTACTAACATTACCTCCATGTGAACAATCTAGTGTGTGTGTGTCGGGTTGAACTACCTAAGGGATTGAGGTCAGCATATCCAAATATCCAAATTAATGTATGAATGTTTCAGTACATATGTTTGTATGTCTTGGATAAGTTAGATATACCGATATTTATTCAGGATATATAGGTACAGTTAAAGTAGAGTATAGGCATGTAAAAAATTACGAACAGGAATCGATTCAACTAAAGCTACTCCAAGAAAGCCCACCAAATGTTTATATATATTGAGGCCCTTAAATAAGTTTAAAATTGTACCTATTCCTGGTTATTATACCGAGCTGTTTAATTTACTTTGTTGTGACAATTTGCGGAATAACACTATAACTGTAAACGAAATTAAACCTAGAAGTTTAAGATGTTTGTGTATTGTTGGAGAATGTGGTGACGTTTGTAGCGAAGTTATATTTTAACTTTTCTTTTCCTTAACTGTTCAAATATGAACAATTATACGTTATTGTTATTTTAAAATATTAAATTACCATATTTCAACCAGCTTTATATCGGGAATCAATTATTGTTATTAATATGCATTACATCGGGGGATGTTTTGCCAAATTAAAACATAACCTTAGTATTATTAACAATATTATTAAGACATCGTGCTGGAATAGTGTTCATATTTGGTAATAAACGTACCTGTACCTGTACCTGGAATTATAAAATCGGTTGAATCTATGTAAGGCTGTTTAATCGCTGAATGAACGAGCGAGAAAGGACACGAAAGAGAAGAGAGAAGAAGCAAGACATTAATAAGAGTAGTGCCGGTTATGATGTACAACCCTGGTCTAGCTTGACATAACCTAACCTGACTTGACATGATTATACCTGTGCTAACCTGAACTTTCATGATGAAATTTGCTCTGACCTAACAAGACTTGATTGCATCTGACCTGACCTAACCTGATCCTGAAACGAAACAAAGTAACTTCTTTATTAATAATACAACTATTAGACCAGGACAAACCATTTCAGCCACGAAGACCTTAACAACGCCTGGCCGTTGTCTGTGCGCTGTTTTAACTTGGCACTTAACTAGTAGAATCCTCCATTGAGGCAGAATGGAAGGGACTCTAACTTAGCCTAATATAACCCCCTATAACTTAATTTAACTTAACTCCCTAAAAGCCTAACTTAATTCACATTAACCCCCCCTAATAACCTAACCTAACACCTTAACCTAATCTAAATCCAAAAATGTTGAGGGTGAAAGACTCCTAACCTAACCCAGGTGACCTAAACTAATGCACGTTAACTCAGGTAAACTCGGCGGCTTAACCAGGTCAAGGTGGTGGCACTCTGGCCTGGTGCCCTCCTCGTCATCGTTGATCATTGGACGTGTGCCAGAGTGAACCACTCGGACCAACGCCAGGGGAAAGTAACTGGGTGAAAAGCTAACTGCCTTCTCTCTTTATGTCTTTTTTTTACTTTTCTATTTGCTTTCTTTTACTCTGCCAGTCTTCTTACTCTCCTTTTCTCTATTTCCTCTGCTGTCTCCACTCCACTTCTCTCTAATTTTCTTTCTTCGTCTCTTCTCTTTCTCTTTGCTTCCATCTTTCCTCTCTTTATCATTACCACTTTGTCTGGATCTCTCTGTCAACTTCATCCTCCCATTCTCTGTCTCGCACTCTCTTCTCTCGAATTTTTCATCATGTCTCCCTTCTCCGTTTTCTGTACTCCTGGCTTTCTTTCTAACCCATTTTTTTCATTTTGTCTCTCATTCTCTTTGCTCCTATCTTTGTAAACCATTTCATCTCACTTCGTATCTCTTTGTTCTACTAGGGTACACGTGGACAGCTGTATGTATGTACTGAAGTACACACCAAACGGCAACCTGTGGCGTAATGGTCAGCTCGCCTCGCAAACTAGTGGACCCGGGTTCGACTGGGCACGGTGAAACTATGGATGTGTAAGTTTTTTTACGCCATTTACCATTATCTATCCAGCAGTAATTGAAAGTGGATCGATTTGCGGATCGTGTTCCGGGTTAATGGTTAGCCAGTGCAGCTGGCGAAGTCTTCTCAGACTATTCCTTGACACTGTCATGCAATTGTTGAGTTGGCGACAGCTTCTACACCCTAAACAAATTCACGCCTATAGGTGGCCCTTGAGCCGGCCATCCTCGTACACGAGGGGCAACTATTATGTATGTATGTAGGCTATGATGTATGTATGTATGTAGGCTATGATGTATGTATGTATGTAGGCTATAATGTATGTATGCACAGTATGCTCACATCTGAAAGTATTGAACTCTTTTGTTTACTTATGTTGAGAGTTCACTTCTATTCTGTAGCGAAATACGTTTTTAAGTAAAAATTATACATAAATATATCATTAACAATAATTAAATTAATAAAATCAATTTTACGGCAAAGGAGAAGTGCACTAACCCAAATCTTTCCAAAGATTCCTACGACAATACAATATTGGTGGACTCAGAAAACAGTCATCATGTCATCTTTGTATAATGAAACCGAGGAAAAGTTTTACGAGCGGGCTTATGAAAATTATATATATATATATATATATATATATATATATATATATATATATATATATATATATATATATATATATATATATATATATATATATATATATATATATATATATATATATATATATCACTTACCAAATACGATGAAACATGTGATTAGATAATATTTTTGGATAATGTTGAATGATAAAATATGAATCCTCATTTTATAACCAATAACATCAAAAGAAACACGATATATTCACCTCTGCTGTACTTGTGCCCGTCCGTAAACTAAATAAACTTCTCCAAAACTATGAACAGAATGTTCAGCCCGCCGCTTATATACCTTCTGTGAGTCGAATTCCTTAGATGACAGCGCGGGATCCTCAGTCGCCAATGTCAAAGCTGTTTTTCTTTCCTCCTTTAACTGAAACAGCATATGAATATTTTTGTCAGTCCCTAGAAAATTTCTTGCATAAATTGTCATTTGTATGGTATAGTTTTAGCATCAAGTTGTAAATGAATTAAATGTTGATAAAGGTATAACTGGCAGCGAGCGTCGTAAGTGCCGGGAGGGAAGGGAAAGTTGAGTGTTGCGACTGGTGGTGGAGAGATTCACTCATGAAAACCATACGCTCAGTTATGCTGCTGCGCTGTATTTTTCTTATGTCCTATTATTTGGAACACTAATGTAAATAATCCGTTCTTTCACCTGGCTGGTATACTGGAAGTGTCTAGATTGTTTATGTGTTGTTTTTTCGCACTCGTCCTGATATCTGGAACACCAAACTGAAATGAGTGTCTCCTGGTATATGGAACACTATCATACTGTTTGGAAGTTTTGGTGAGGACAACACTAGCCATTTTTAATTGGATTGTAAATAAAAATACTCTTCCCTAAACGGAATTTAATGATATATATGTTACTTTTTTGCGAAATCGGTTATTTTGCAAAGTTACTAGCAGTTATCCGGATTTCAAGAGGGCCCCTTGATGAAAGCCTCCCTGTGGTGACCACGCTCAATTTTCATCCATTTACTGATTACCATATTTATCTATATCCTCACTTACGAGTATTTGTACCTGACACATCAGATATTGCAGAGATGCTTAGCTATCACATATGTGTAAATTTACCGTACCTAGACAGATGTATATAATTGACTAAGAAAGCATTCAACAATTGAGTGTAGCCAACTTATCTTCTACCCCCCAAAAAATAAAATGTTCTCGATACGGTTGTCGTAACTCAGCTGTGAACCCTGACCTAACATGCCATTAAGCGTAAATTACAAAATTAATTACATTACTTCTGAAATTAGCTGCGTATGGTGTAACCTACAGTATACTGTACACATTACAAATACCGTACTGTATTGGAATTTTTTTTTGTAATTTTAATCTTACGCTTGTAATTTAAAGCATTAATTTTCTTTACCGCTCCTCAGCATTCTCTTTAGAATGAACTCACGGAAGTTTGCATTCTCATCTTCACCAACAAGTCACCTTACAATGGTTTATCTCGCATTCTGGTTCTGATAGATCTGTCCAAGCACTTGATATAACTGAAAATGCTCTTTACTCAAAAGGTAGCCAGCTACCACCTGGGAAGATATTGGAAACATAATTAATGTGTTGTCTAATGGTAGACCCTGCTGCCATATGGCATCACAAAAAATTGTGACCAAGTCCCAAGTTGCTGATCTGACTTCCTGCCTCATTTACACACAATTGCAGGGTCTCAATTGTTTCTCTTACTTTGACAACACAACATACACACACACACACACATATATATATATATATATATATATATATATATATATATATATATATATATATATATATATATATATATATATATATATATATATATAAATTGTTTCTCACTTTTTTTAATTGTATTTATTTCTCTTTAATATTATTATTATTTTATTTTTATTATAATTGTTACTTATTTTTATTATTATTATTATTATTATTATTATTATTATTATTATTATTATTATTATTATTATTATTATTATTATTATTATTATTATTATTATTGTTATTATTATCATTATTATTATTATTATTATTATTATTATTATTATTATTATTATTATTATTATTATTATTATTATTATTATTATTATTATTATTGTTGTTATTATTATTATTATTATCATCATCATCATTATTATTATTTTATTCTATTTTCGCCCCCCAGACCTTGATGTGGGTCTTTATAAAATGACTTGTGCCCGGGTGGGCTAAAGCCCACAATAAAAAAAACTTAGGCGTGGAGTGCACAGACAGCTCCTTCCCTAGCAGCTTAAGCAGTGTCATACTGCCATAACATTCTTTAAAAAAATGTACCAACTTTCAGTATGTCACTGGTAGTTCATCTACAGATTTTAAGGTGGACACAACCTAAGAAACCTTGTATAACGTGGACACCTTAAACAAAGTCACCATACTATGGGTGTTCGTGACTAAACCCACAAGATCTTTAGCATCTGTCTTATTAATGTTCAACAAGTTCAGAATATGGGTTTATGGTGTGTTACATCTTGCTCGCTTCATTTATTTATGAAGCAACTCGGAGACCGGGGATTATACATCGAAACCCGGAAACTGGGACGTACCAGAAGAACTGAAACCTGAAATAGCTGCATTTAGAGTTGCCGTTTTTGTTTTAGCTGCTACAACTTCTAGGGTAAGTAACGTAATAACGTAATTTGCATCAATAGAAGAGTTTTGTTTCATAGCTAGATTTACTGTAATACTCATGGGTGGTTGCTGTGACCGATTGGATACAGCGCTCGCTCTGTCCTGAGGGTCGCTGGGTTATCCCAAGTATTTTGTCTGTTATAGAATCCTTGGTTGTCCCCAGGGACTGTGTTGTGCTCGCTGACCCCTTGTGTACGGAAAGCAGTAAACAGTGTGCTATTATCAACACTGTCGCGTCAGGGCTACAGGACTCATTTTCCATTTACAGGAAACTTCACAGTAATGAAGAAGTATGAACAAAGATATTCTAGTCAGATGAGAAACTGATTTGTGATAATTAATTTTGTATTATTTAAGCCTTTATAATTTTTGGTGTAGAAATAAACCATTCCAAATGCACCAGAAAGTTCTTGTGAGGGAGACACAATATGGTGGTGAGAACTGTTCCTGGCGCCATTATCTCCTGTTCCTCTCTTCTTGTTCTCATTTCTTCCTCCCGTCGAGTCTTTTCACCCGGAAGCGGGAGCAAAGTGAGTGCCACCTTATGTCTGTCAGTCACCAAGCCTTCCTCACAGCTGGTTGGATGACTGACTGAGAATCAACAGAAATTCAATTTAGAGTAGTTAAATAAGAAAGAAAAAGACTCAGTAGAATCATTTTCAGCACTTTCCAGTATTAGTTGATTAGCAATACTTAATTATCAGCTACATGTTGATTTTTCAGTTTTCTACTTCATTCTCTTTTTTCTTATTATTAATTTTCTTTCTTTCACGACTTTTACTTTATGGATGAAGGTCACGGGCCGGAACTTCGCTCTCTACTCCCTGTGACACCCTTCCCTCCTGTTCTTGTCTGCTAAGCTATACTTATTTATGATTATATTGTACATTATACAAACAATTAATCATTGCACTTAATTCTAGACATTGCCACAATAAATGTATAATTTGTGGAGGAACGTGTATCACCACCGTGTCTTGGAGTCAACAATGATCATCACCAATAGCATTAGTGATAAATATGTTAGATGAATCTGGTTAACGTGATGATAGCCCCTTTCCTCCCAGCTTATATCACCTTAAGATACACCACTCTAAAGCTAACCTAATATAACCTAATCTAGCCTAACCCACAACTAGCGTTAGGGTGTTTAATAATCAGGTGAAATAACTTGGGGCGACCCGAAAACGTACAGGGTATACATACAACTTCTATTGACTCTAATGATTAAAATGCGTAGAATTTATGTTGTGAGATATCAAGGCTTGTGCTCAGTGGTAGTTGAAACACCGAGATTTAAAAAAACCAAAAACAAAGTGTGTTTTCGATCTAAGGGCACTGGGTATATGTGATAAAGTCACTAGACCGCCCGCTGTTGTGTCTGGCTGAGTGTAGAGAAGCTGCTGAAGAACTGTATATACTTTATAAAATGTCTATAAAGTTTATAGACATAGAGCCATCGTGTAGAGCCCAGAGTATAGTGAGTAAACTGGAAAAGTAGTATAACCTGAGTGTAACCCGGTACTATAAACCTTGGGAGGCTGTAGTGGACGTCTCCCCTACAAGGCCACTTATACTGTAGCCCGAGCTTATGAAACAATAAAACAATCAATGAATTTATCTTGATTCAGGTTCCTGCCATATTGCACTGGCAACACAACCCAAATGATTTCATAACAGAGGTACTTTTATTTCACTGGTGCGAAATTCGTGCCTGTAATCGTCTTTGTTAGCTATCTTCCATCCTGTAGAACCGATATTTACAAAATTAATTTCTACTTCGACTAACACTGTACAATTTGGAACTTTTTGTCACTGTTTTCTCTCCATCTTAATCTGAAATAGTTCACAACTTCGCGTTTCAAACATTCTCAATCTTCGGCAAGGAGACAGTTCGGTGGATATATTAGATAACAATAATATATAATTGTCTCCTTACTCCCCGCGCCACTTCATAGATTTGCGATGTTACATTTTAATTTTTTATGTGACATTGAGGAAATTTTTTTTTTCATTTTATGCCAGGTATTACTGTAGGTATTAGTTTCTATAATGAAATACAACTTTTGTAATTAAATAAATATACTGTTGATATCAGCTAGTAAAATGTTTTTAATTTTTTAAGTAAATTTGTTGTTGTTGAAGTGTTAAAGCGTTTCGGCAATTTTGGTCTTATAGCAAGGAACACATAACCTATTTATAAGCTTGACAATGCCCATTAACAGATAAAAAATATGACTGGCCGCAAAGAACAACAAGAGTGGGGGCACTGGGGACTACTGGCTGGGAAAGTAGAGAGCTGAGCTGAGCCGAGCGAACATCTCCCAGACGCCGGCTTCCTGGGTTTCCCTTATTAAGTGGCAACATATATTTTTTTTACCGTGTTATATATTTCCACCGTGTGTGTGTGTGTGTGTGTGTGTGTGTGTGTGTGTGTGTGTGGATACATGTATTTACGTGTGAATATTAAGGATAAGTCCAATACTGTCACTTCACCCTTAGCTATGTCGTGTCTGCCAATGACAATTTGCTTTCTCTTTCCTTATTTTCTAAAAGTCCGTCTCCCTATTCACCCCCAATGTTCTCCTCCAGCCCTCTCCCTCCGTCCCTCCCTTTCACTTCATCCTGGAGAGAGAG